AATTAAATTAAGACACATCAAATTGATGTTAAAACTAATATTAATTTTTTTAGATAAATTAATTATTAAAAAATTTATTAATTGTATTCTTAATTTATACTCTAAATGCACAAATTAAAAAATTCCTTATTTAAATATAGATTTGTATAGGAGACAAACTTTTCGACCATAATTGGTTAATCAATGCAAAGAACACAAGCCTAATGATTCAATATTGGATGAAGTGAGCATGAATGCAATCATTCCTCTTCCATTTGTTTTTTTCTTTTCTTTGCAAGTTGGTTTTTCTTTCTCTCCGTTTCATCGTTTGAATTGGAGAACCCGGGGAAACCAACTGAAATTTGAAATCTAACTGTCGGTGGGTACCACATTGCAACTTGTAATTTAACGGGAACAAGAAAGTGGGCTTTATTGGGCCAGGTCCATCTCTAAAAAGCAGTTGTGCAATTGCATGATTCCATCTTTGCCATCGGGACCAATAATCCTCCCCAAAAATAAAAATTGCTCTCGGTTTAAAATTTTCATGGTCAAACGGTATGGTTCTATTTGGTTTAATTAAATAAGCATTATTTCATTTTTGCAAAAATTAAAGTACTTAAAACATCAGGTGAAGTAGAATGTTAAATTTATAATTATGATATTCTTAAATAAATAGATGCATATAAATTATAAATAAATTTCTTAGTAAAATGAATCAAATTATATAATTACACAATATTATAAGCATGATATTTTTCAAATACAAATGTCCTCTCATGGTGTATCAATTCTGCTGGCATGTGCAGCTGAGATACTCAAATGATAGGTTCTAGATGTATAGGCATCATCAGTCGAAGTATATAGAGATTGGAAAACAGTTGCATAAACTTAACAGAACAATTTTTTTGTTACAAGCTTAACAAAAAAATACTTCAATTTAGCCATATGCACATAGAAGCAATTCATAAATACAACATAACTACAATTAAGCCTGAAGTCTAATGGTAGAGTCACCTGTACTCTAAATCACAAGTTTATGGTTTAATCTCTAGTTATTACATATAAAAAAACAATACAACATAAGTTACAAAATATGCTCCAAAGGCGTACTTACAGGCGTTGGCGATTCTCATAGGTCCACTCTAACCAAGATAGGTGGACCTCGTCAGTAGGTTGACAAACAGAGAGAGCTCTCATGTCCCGCTTGCAAAGGAA